ATAAATATTGAGAGAGTGGCGACGGCAGAATTATTCGATCTGTCCCTCCTTTCAAAACCCTTGTGTACTTCTGCTTCTTCTCCTTTCTTCTACTTTTCTCAATTCGAAATCTTTTGGAATTCAAGACTGACTGTAGTCTTGATCGACTGCTCAGGCTAGGAAAGGAAAACTGAGGAGGGGTTTCAACTAGCCAAAGGTCTTCCCATAACAATACTCAGGTCCCGTTTCCCACATCATATCTGATATAATTGATAAAATTTGGGTATACCACCTGTATTGATTTCCAAGGAGACAAAGAGGTTGCTGAAGAGGCTACTTTTGCATCTCATCAATTATTTGTTGTCCCATGAATGCATGCAATTACCTTATGCCAAAGTCTACCATTTTCCATCGGAAATCTCCATAACCATTTCCCTAACATTGTTGTATTTCTGGGGATTAGGCTCCCTATTCCAAGCCCACCTTGCTCCTTTGGTTTGCCAACTTGCTCCCACTTCACAAGATGATCCCTCTTCTCGCCCCCAAGTTCCCAAAGGAAGTCTCTCGTGATTTTCTCTTATTGCTTTGCAACTCTAGCTAGAATTCTAAAGGTGGAAAGATAGTAAATTTGTAAATTGGCTAATGTTGCCCTGATCAATGTTATTCTTCCACTCAAAGAAATGTAATTTCTTTTCTAGAGAACAAATTTTTTAGTGAACCTTTCTAAAACCGGCTTCCAAAAGACTTCTAACCTCGGATTTCCACCTAACGGGAAACCGAGATATTCCAAAGGCAAACTCCTTACCTCACACCCTAGAGTCTCTCCCAAAGATCTTAATTCTTCCTCCTCCATATTAATCCCTGCTACACAAACTCTTCCCCAAGTTTACTCTCAAATTAGAAACCGATTCAAAGGAAGAAATTATGTCCTTTATACTCCTCAAGTCCTCAAGATTGCCTTCTTGCCTTCTTCACAGAACATGATTATGTCATCAGCAAACTACAAGTAAGTGATTGTCATCTCATTCCTACCTACCCTCCATCCTCTAAGAACCCTTTCCTGGCCAGCCTTGATAATCATCCTACTTAAAACATCTGCTACTAGAGTAAAGAAGAAAGGGCATTTATCAAAAAGAAAAGAGAGAGAGAGGAAAGGGGATAAGGGGTCTCCTTATCTCAAACCTTGTTTGGCAAGAAACAAATCTCTAGCTACTCCATTTATTAAGATTGAATAATGCACTAAACTTAAGCAACCACCAATCCATTTCCTCCACCTCTCTCTAACCCCAATCTTCACTAAAATTTCAAGGATGAAAAACCAATCCACAAGATCATAAGCCTTCTCTAAATCTAGCTTGCAAATTAGGCTTTTTTCTTTCTTCCTCCCTTTCTCTGCTCTACACTCATTTCACCAGGATTTGGCCAATGATCTGTCTCCCTTCCACAAAAGCTCCTTGGAATTGAGAGATTACCGAAGGCAAAACTTTTTTAAATCTTTCAGCCAAGACCTTTGCTAAAATCATATAGAGACTACCCACAAGGCTTATGGGTCTAAAATCCTTTGGTGTCTTGGGTACCCTCTTTTTGGGGATCAAAGCAATGAAGGTTGATTTTGCTCCTCAAGAGATTTCCCCTTCATGATAGAACTCATTAAACACTTCCACTAGGTCACATTTTGTAACTTCACAATGGTTTTGATAAAATGCCATCAAGAAACCATCCGGTCCTGGGGCTTTAGACCTTTCCATCGAGGAAGAGGTTGATGCCCACTCACTTCTTTCAGCCAAAACCCCAGTCTCAAGCCCCCCCCCCCCCATTCCTTCTTCAGCCTGCAAGCCTTCTTCCATTTTATCAAGTAATCCCTTCTATCACTGCCACCTCCCACAGAAAATCCCTCTGCAGTTTTTCAATACGACTCTTTACCCTTGCAGGGGCCCGAATAGGGAAAATGTGAAAGGGAGTTTGAGGAGTTGCTTTAGTCTGCCCCCTTTGGAGAGGTAATTTCTTTTCCAATAGTCTAGTCTCTTCTCACAATTTTCCACCACAGTGATCGATTACTATGAATCAACCCCTCCTTTCAAACAAAGGGCATTCCCATAAAAGACCTTTGCTGATCATAACTCTTCTGACAATTCAAAGACAACCGTACCATCTTAGAAGAAGGTTATTTAAGAACCATTAAGGAACAAGTACTAATGCAATGGCATTGGTGAATACACAATATAGAGAGACAACAAAAACATGTCACAACCAAAAGTAATTACAAAGAACGTATTGCCATTCTCTGCTGAATTATGAAACATCCAACTTCTTTTGTATCTTGAATAGATGTTACTGCCGTTGGTAACGATTGGCAGACTGGGGATATCACAGAAGATTCACATAATGAGAAATGATTCAAGGTCCCCCTCTCTCGAACTAAAAGATCTGATATAACACAGTAAGCCTCGGATAAGTGGAGAGTTCAATCCCTGTATGTACCAAAAATCACATAATGAGGATAAGCATACACTTCTCGATAATCGGTTCAACCGACTAGGATATCTAATATGCGGATCCAGGGAGAGTTATTCCCTTTTCGAAAGCTTGTACCATTAAATTTATTCCTCCACTTCCAGCAGAGATCAACAAAAGGAGTAGTCAATGTTTTGAGAAAACGTACATTCTGCGAGTGCCCAAACAGAAAATATGTCTATCGGATCGACTACAGCCACTGGACATATGGTCCGTTCGCACAGGTATTATATGAATCTTGAGACTCCCAAAAACTTATCGAAACTTGAGAAGTTTCAAATGAAATTGTAGTTACCTGCATCTGACTCCCTCGCATGGTCGTAGTCTCCTCCCGAAGGTCGCGCAGGATCTGCATTGCAGGTCTCCGATAGTTAACACCGTCAGAAGTTGCGATTGCTCGTCTAAGTCACTTTAGTAAGGCACTTACCTCTGGCTCGCGAACGTTGGCAAGTATGTATTTGTAAAGCTGAGGTGTAACACTAATAACCTGCTTGTTCCCGTACTTGTCGTCATCGGCAACAATTACAGAGTCCCCATAGAAGCTTCGGGGCTTTTCCAACTTCAATGCCCTAACTGCGCCATTTAAGTTGCGAATCCTCGTTGAAGTTATAGAAGAACAACGGAATTCCTGGGGGCCACTTGAAACAGCTGCTTGCAGAGAAAATTTGCGGGAGACTCGAGAGTGCAGTGTTAACATCGGATGTATAGAACGATAAAACAAAGGAAACATCATAATTGAGGATAAAGAGATCGACCGCTGTCTACAGACGTCTACGACCCCTCAACCCTTCACAGTTATTACCAGCGGGGAAGCCAAAATTTAAAAATGCCAGATACAATTTTGGATAAATTGGTAAATTATAAAGACCCCCTTGGTTAGTGACAAAGTCCCCCTGTACTTTAGCCATTAGACAAAGACCCCCCTTAAATAAGATGATGGAAAGCATTAAATTATCAAAATACCTTATTAAATTTTTTTTATTTTCTTTTTCTTGCCCTTTTTCTCTTAAAATTTATTTAACCAACAAATGGATATCTGATCCTAAAGAGTAATTTTGTTTGTTTTGATTATTGGTTATCTTCCCTTCCATGATTAAAACATCATGGCCATGTACAAGAAAATTTTGGTGTCCTTGCTGGTTCACCCCGAAGCTTATTTAGCTCCTTTATCGTCTTCTCGACACAAACCCCTGACCAAAATAACAATTCCAGAAATCATAGAGAATCAAATGACCAGTTCCACGACGTCGAAGCAGGCTCTACTCAGCCTCTCATTAATTAAAGACAACAAGGTTTTCAATCAGTGCTTGCAAAGTGATCCTGCCGTTAGTCTCTTTGCTCTTGAACAGATCAAATCGAGGGAAGAAAGACGCGCTTACGACGCTCTACAAGCTCTGTTCTATGAAACATAACAAAGAGAAGGTTGTTAATGCAAGAGCCATGAAACCGCTGGTGGACTTGATTTCAGAACAGGGGAGAGATTTGACGGAGAAGGCGATGGTGGTTTTGAGCAGCTTAGCTACAATTCCAGAGGCCAGAATTGCCATAGTCGAAGAGGGAGGGGTTACAGTTTTGGTTGAAGCGATCGAAGTTAGGTCAGTGAAAGGGAAAGAGTTCGTGGTACTGAAGCTTCTGCAACTATGCGCGGATAGTGTACGGAACAGAGGATTGTTGGTGAGAGAAGTTGGGATCTCGCCACTTGTTGCACTCTCTCAGACGGGCACAGCTTGAGCGAGCCCTTTTAAGCTTTAATCTTTATGGTGTTCCCATCACTCGCTCGACATTGTGAGTTCTAACTCGTGTTCCGGTCTTTGAGAGAAAAATGAAGAGCCTCTCCCTCTAATGGCCTGGTGTGCTTTGCCTATCTCTACGACGGAATATTGATGTATGTAGAAAGTGTCTGATTGTGGTTGTGGTAGAGATGAGGCGAAGCATGAAGTATTGTGGATGATGAATCATTCTTTATCATAATTGGATTTTAATATTTAATCTACTGTTTGGACAGGTCGAAATGCTGCTCGGGTACTTGAGAGAGCCCAAGCAAAAGGCATCTTCGTCAAGTCCTTGACTTATTTACAGGGGTAATGCATTACCCAACGAGTTTCTTTTTGTTGATTTTATCCCATTGTTTTTATGCCATTTCACCTGACTTCAATGGAGAATACAATGAACAGTATAAAAGGGTAGTTTGGACATTTAAAAAAAATAAACACTCGTATGAAAATTATTTTGATGTTAATTGACGGGAAATTAATGGAAGGGGATCTTTGTCTAACGGATAAATTTATTGAAAAAAAAAAGTACAGGGGGAGACTTTGTCACTGACCCCATAGTACAAGRGGGTCTTTGTAATTTACCCTTTCTTAAACTACCATTATGGTTTAGTTAATTGATTAAGTGTCTAAAAATTGACTAACTCTTCATCGCGTCCATTAATAGAAAGACAAAAAAGACTATTTTACCCTTCATTATTCTTCAAATTTTCAAAATAAAATAAGAAAAAAGGGAAAGAAACGTCGGTTCATCAAACCCTATTGGAGCTCTTCTTCGGGAGGCCCTTAGTGATTGGAGTCATTCAGGGCATGATGACCGGCCTTGTTTGCATCACTCTGGTAGCAAGTAGGTCTTTGCAGAAATTGTGAATTCTCTATGCAAATCGTAGTTACGGGGGTTGACCTTTTTGTTTGCAAATTATTTTATCCATTATTCTCTTTTAAATTTTTAAAGTAAAACATTAACTCCAATTGATTCAATCCTTGAAGAACTTTTGTTTGCTGATGAGGGGAGGAGAGAAAAGGAAATCTAAGCTCTAGAATTCTAAGAAGAAAAGCAACAAATGACACAGATTCCAAAGCGACGATTAACACAAAGTCCAGAGTCGTGAGTGAGTTAAAGCAAGACAAGCAATGAAAACAACTGGTCCATGGATGGAAGCAGGGATTGAAAACCTCTTCAATCGCATACTATGCAAGCTTTAGAGTCCAAATCAATACAACACATAGCCTTTTCCCTTAAGACCATTAACAAATACAGAAGCAAAGGCATCCATCTCAAGTCCTCTAAGCGTCAAAGTGATTTCAGCCCCACCATCTCCGTTGCAGCTTTCGGATATAAATATGGCTCCTATTTTGTCGATTGATGCCAACTCCACCTTCTTCGGCTTTCCCATCCAAAATCTACCTTTATATCCCCATTCATGGTGACCTAGCAAACCAAATCTTCCCCCTCAACCCAGAAGACAGCAAGCATGAAACCCAGAGCTCTGCTCCATCCAGAGCTCCATCGTTCAGCCCCACCATTTCTGTTGCAGCTTTTCGATATAAATATGGCTCCTATTTTGTCGATTGACGCCAACTCCACCTTCTTCGGTTTCCCTATCCAAAATATGCCTTTTATATCCTCAGTCGTGGCAACCTAGCAAACAAAATCTTCCCCCTCAACCCAGAAGACAGCAAGCGTGAAGCCCAGAGCTCTACTCCATCCAGAGCTCCATCGTTCAAACCATTGATTGAGTCTTCCATCAACTATGCTGAGACAACTATCTGATCTTGTCTTAGTAAATCGACCCTCTTGGTCATCACTACACGAGTCCCCACTCAGTAAATCAACTACAGGTATGTTGCAGGTCCCTTTGCTCAGATCCTTCAAGAACTCTTGTTTGCACATGAGATGCAGAGAATTCTCTTTACAGGACTCATTGTTGGCATCTTGAGTTTTTGTACCCTGGTTTTTGAACTGTACAGTTCCGGTCTACCAATAGGGTTTCGTCGGTGGTATTTCTCTGTTCACTGTTGTCAATAAGACGATGAACAGAGATGAAGATGGAGGAAAGAAAAGAAGAAGAAGAAGGGGAAAGAGAGAGGGAAGAGGAGAGAGAGAGAGAGAGATTGGGGTAGGAACTTGATTGGAAGAGACAATGAACAATGTTTTTTGGTTCTCTAGAAAATGAATTCGAGTCTCACACGTGTATACGGGTTTTGGCAGAATGATAACGGATGCTAATGATAAGGGGATTATTAGTTAATTGTTAGAAACAATGGGCGTTAGTCAATTTTCAAAGACTAAGGGTACACTTAGTCAATTAACTAAACCATAAGGGTAGTTTAAGAATTTACCCTACAATTTCTTTATGCCTATTTGGAGAGATACCATGGCTTTTAAAAATGACACGAAAATGGAACCGTTCTGGCCACCAGTTTTTGGGTCAATGGTTCAACCGTCCAGTTTGAACAGATGGCCCATTTTGACAAAAAATTAAAAATAAAAAATGGTCAAAATCGTTGAATGGGTCAACAGGTCGATGGTTCAACCGCCTGGTTCAATGGGTCCTTGACTGATTCAAGGCTTTTTGGCCAGAGACTGGGTTTGGAGCAAAATGGAACCGGTTGCCTAAATGGTTCCTGAGCCGAACGGTCCGATCGTCCAAGTCAACAACAATTCGAAAACCATGGGAGATACAATAATAAATTAGGTTATATTTTTAAAATAAAATAACTATAACCATATTATATGAATAATAAACAATCACGTAGAACCAGTCTTAAACCGATTATTTAATTGGGATCAAATCATAGACCTCATTATATTGAAAATAATAGTCAAAATAATACTAATTTATTTTTATGTTAATAAGTTAAACATTTTTAACTAATATTATCTTATTTATTATTTATCAAATTTACTATTCCAAACATGAAACATGACAAAAAATACAAGAAAGATAAAAAAAAATGTGTGTTTCATAAAATGTTTGGTTCTGGACCCGAATCAATTATGGACAAGTAAGAATGAGATTCAATCCAATAATTAATCAAGACAAAATCATGGAACCAAAACCGTTATAATTATGATCAGTCAATTTAGCTCCATCAAGATAGACCCATCCCATTGGTTTAGCCCTAGTTTTTTTTAAATAAATAAATAAAAGTTTATTGGGATGGGATTGGTATAGGCTATCTCGAACCAAACCCGACACATTGACCACACTAAATATTGGGCTCAAGGGGAGAGAATAATTTGTTAGTAAATTATTTATAAATAAACAAACAATTTAGTAAAATAAATAAATAAATGTTTATTGAAATCTATCTCCTAATGTTACATCTCTTTTATTCTACTGATTTATTTTATTAAAACAAATAATTTATTTAATTTTATTAAATAAATACATATTTAGATAATAATAATAATAACAACAACAACAACAACAACAATAATAATAATAATAAATGAATAAATAAAAGTTGAGATATAGAATAGGAGAGAGAGATAGTTGAGAAAGAAGAGTAATAGCATTTTATTTATAGGATGTCATAATCGTAAATAATTGTATGTGGCACTACTATAATTTTCGAATTCCATTGAGGCAATTATATAGGGATGTTTGTATATGTGGCATTGTTGTAATTTTTGAATATTAGAGAGGCAATTATATTGGGAGGTTTGTCTTATATGTGGCATTTTTGTAATTTTTCAAACAAAGAGAGGTGGGAGAAAAGAGAGAATAAAGAAAAGGAGAGAAAGACACATGTCAATAATTTAGAGAACAAAAAACATGTAAGTGTCAACCTCACAATGCTACCGTACACCCTCCCAATATTTTAAGTATATAGATAGATTTAAGGGTTTTTATGGGCAAGTCCACCTCAGAAATTGAAACATCGTCTAGACCGGTATAGAATTCAAAACCCCCATCGTCCCTGCTTAACAAAATCATATTTACATGTAACTCCACCCCGCCTAATATGTCTCCCATTATACCCTTTAACATAAGAAAGAAGAAAGAAAGTGAAGAAATTTATTTGCCCTCCTTCTTCCCAAGTTTTTGAATGTTGGAAGGATTCTCAGAGGCCCCCTCTTCGTTCTCTTTCTTCCCGAGTGTTCGAACGTTGGAAGGATTCTCAGAGTCCCCTTACGTTCACCTCAGAACATTGTTCGCTCTCTTCTCGAGTTTTAAAACGTCATTCACTCTCTTCTTCCCGAGTTTTCGAATGTTGGAAGGATCCTCAAAGGCCCTTGTGTTCTCTTCCCCATTTGAAGTTTTCTCAAGTTTAGTCAAATCGTACGCGTTGACGAGGCTAGTGGTTTTCTTTACCCCTGCCGGAAGCATTTCCTTACTTTGCTAGCTCTATTTTGTAGGTCCTGTTGCTACTTCTTCATCAATCATCACCAACGGGAACTGTCATCTAGCCAAAGTTTTTAGTCTCCATCGACCATTTCACCTGGTTGAGCTCAGTAGGAGCACTTTGATTTCACATTTTGGTTGTTAAACATTAGCATCACCCGGAGTTAATAATCTTGTTGACCATTTTGAATCAAGCTCGGTGAGGGTGCTTTATTCCTCTATTGGCTATTAAACATTTGCAGGTATGAGTAGCCAAAGGAGTGGTGGGAATCAATCCCTTAATAGCTTGCAGTATGATATTAAGTATTGCTATTGCAAACAAAAATGTACCATTCGAATTTCAACAACTCCCAATAACTCACAAAAGTTGTTTTATAGATGTTGATTAAAATCTAAGGTAATATTTTAGTGGGTTGATATTATTTGTGAGTATTGCTATAAGGTATGTAGACAAGACACAATATCTAGGACGGGTGGCACAGGGATACATGGGCGGTGGTACCAACCCCACGGTGCGGGGTGAGGTTCCCTCGAGGGCCTTGTGGGAGGCAGAGAAGCACTAAGCTTATGAAGAAGGCTGACGATGGGAAACAATGGTTCTTCTAAACCACCATTTCCCACTATCGGTCTAGGCCATTGGGTTGATGGACGGGTGGAAGGGGGTGGGGTGTTTAGTGGGTGAGTGGCAATAGGAGGGTGTGGATTTGGTCAGAACGGAACAACTTTGCCCTCACCAGAGCACCTAGTGATTGATTTTGCCAATTCTGACACGTTGTATTGGATGGGTGGCATGGGGATAGATGGGCGGCGGTACCACCCACATAGCA